ATTACTTTGACAACAAAGTTCCATCTAGTCAAAGCTATGGTTTTTCCACTAGTCATGTATGAATGTGAGAGTTGGACAATAAAGAAAAATGAGTGCTGAAGAATTGATGCTTTTGAACTGTGGTATAAGAGAAGACTCTTGAGAGTCCCTTGAACTGCAAGGAGATCCAACCAGTCCATCCTAAAGGAGATCAGTCCTGGGTGTTCATTGGAAGGACTGATGTTGAAGCTGAAACTCCAATACTTCCACCACCTGATGCGAAGGGCTGACTCATTTGAAAAGACCCTGATGCTGGGAAAGATTAAGGGTGGGATGAGAAGGGGTTGACAGAGGATGAGATGGTTGGATGGCATCACTGACTCAATGGACATGAGTTTTTGTAAACTCTGGGAGTTGGTGATGGACAGGGAGACCTGGCGTGCTGTGGTTCATGGAGTCGAAAACAGTCAGACATGACTGAGTGACTGAACTGAACTAGAAGGTCTTGTAGGTCTTCATAGAACCATTTGACATCAGTTTCTTTAGCATTAATGATTGGGGCATAGACTTGGATTATTGTGATGCTGAATGGTTTGCCTTGGAAATAAACCGAGATCATTCTGTCTTTTTTGAGATTACACTCAAGTACTGCATTTTGGACTCTTGTTGACTGTGAGGGTTACTTCATTTCTTCTAAGGGATTCTTGCCCACAGTAGTCGATATAATGGTTACCTGAATTAAATTCACCCACTCCTGTCCGTTTTAGTTGACTGATTTCTAAAATGTCGATGTTCACATTTGCCATCTCCTGCTTGACCGTGTCCAATGTACCTTGATTCTTGGATCTAATATTTCAGGTTTCTATGCAATACTGTTCTTTACAGCATTGGACTTAACTTTCACCACCAGACACATCCACAACTGAGTGTCATTTCAGCTTTGGCCCCGCATCTTCTTTCCTCTTGAAGTTATTTCCCTGCTCTTTCCCAGTAGCATATTGGACACCTTCTGGCCTGGGGGGCTCATTTGCTGTCATATCTTACTGCCTTTTCATATGTTCATGGGGTTTTCTTGGCAGGAATACTGGAGTGATTTGCCATGTCATCCTCCAGTGGCCTATGTTTTGTCAGAACTCTTCACTATGGATGACCTGTCTGTCTTGCATAGCATGGTTCATAGCTTCATGGCTTTACACAGCAAGCTCCTTTGCCACAGCAAGGCTGTGATCCATGAAGGGGCAAAAGGCCTTTAGTTGTAACCTGTCTCTAACAGTGATTCTCAGCACTGACTGTGCATCAGACTCACTGAGGGGCATTTAGAGCCTCCACATCATCAAGTCCCACACCCAGAGCTTCTGGTTCATTCAGTCTGGTGTGGGGGCAAGGGGGTCTGGGCATCTGCATTTTTAAAACTCCAGAGGTGATTCTGGCACACAGCTCTGTTGAGACTCAAGCTGATACTCTGGAAACACTGAGAACAAGGCAGGAGATAATAGACTTCAATGCCCAATAGGGGAATGGCTACTTGATGGGTGAAGCACCTACTTAAAATGGTCATTACAATGATTATATAACATTTTGGAAAAACATTTGTGATAAGCTGTTAAGGAAACAAAACCATAAAACAAGTTACAATTATGCTATGGTTGCAATAATAAACCTATGCACGTGTATAGACAGGAACTAGAGGAAAGCCTGGAAAAGCGGAAAAGTGTTAAAGCTGAGCTCTTAAAAGTCTTTTTGTATGTGTTATTACTGTTACATCATTTGCTTCCATGATAAGAAATTATAATTAAAAACGACCCCTGTAGCTTAGCAGTGCACAGAGCAGCAGGGCTGTTTGAGGCTTGTGAATCACGGTGATTACTGACAAAATGCAATCAACTCTGCAGTACTTCTGGCATTAGTTATTATTCTCATTATGGGGGAAAGAAATGACACATTAGCTTAAAAAGAATCGACCAATTTAAGCAAACCATTTTTCTTGGGAGCAAAGTGTCTGAGCACTGACTCTTTTCTTGCACATCTCCTAATCCTCCTAGTATGAATCCCATTCCATTGCAGGACCTCTGAACTTCATTAAGTACCACACTGGGTGCCCTCCCATGTTCTCTCATTTCTAGGGGTGTGAAGAGTTTAAAGAAAATCAGCCATCCTTGTGTGGAAAAGGACTGTAGCCATGAGAGGTTAAGGAGGGGTTTCTGGTCCTTACAAAAAAAGCCTTAGAGCAAGCACAGGTTTTCTTCTCCTCCTCGGATAGTTTCTTCCACTTCCTGACTCACCTCCAGGATGTCGCTCCCAGTACTTGGGGATGGGATGGCAGAGCATTAGACCTTACCCTTCACACCAAAACCATGGGTGACAGTTTATTGCCCAGGAATGGGTGTGGTGGGCCATCTCCTTATAAACCTGATGTCACCTCTTGCCTCCCTCCTGTTCCAGCAAGTCACTGTTTTCCCCTGATGTTGTACAACAGAACCCTATATGTGAGAATACTTGCATATGGTGAGAGATTGGTATTCATAAAACAGGCAAGTCCACTTGGTACAGGGTCAAGAGTGATGATTTTGGAGGATAGTTAACATGGGCTGTTAAGCTCTGATTATATGCTGGACACATGCTATAAGCTTTGCATGTTTTTCTCTCAGTATCTCCATTTCATAGGTTAGGGAACTGGTTAGAAATGGACAGAGCAAAGTTGAGCCCTGACATGCCTGATTCTAGTATAGAACCATGAAAGAGTTGCAAATTCACATGCTCTAGGGGCCAGCCACTGGGCTTTCCTGGTGGCTCGACAGTAAAGAATCCATCTGTAATGCAAGAGACCTGGGTTCGATCCCTGGGTTGGGAAGATCCCCTGCAGGAGGACATGGCAACCCACTCCAGTATTCTTGCCTGGAGAATCCCATGGACAGAGGAGCCTGGTGGGCTTGAAAAGAGTTGGACATGACTGAGCGACTAAGCACTCAGCACAGAGGCCAGGCTAGTGATATGAGTGTGGCAGGTAAAGCTGACTGGGACTTTGATGAGCTGGAACACACAAAGGACAGCATCTATTTAATGCTGCCAATGGATGCAACCCAGGAATGCAGGTCCAGCGTTACCCAAGAGCCCTATTTTTTTCTAAGGAAAGCTGAAATTTAAGAATTTTTATTTGAAATCTTTCAACTATTTCAAATTAAAAGAAACACTGTAAGTGTATAGCTTATTATATTGCCCAGCTGCTAATTTTTGTAACTCCTGGAATAATGGTCATATGCAAGGGCTTTGGAATCACAGAGAAATGGATTTTAATCCCGATTCAATCACATTGTCACTGTGTGATCTTAGGCAAATCATTTTAGTTCTTGTACCATGATTTTCTCATTTGTAAACTAGGGATGATGCCATTTGCCTTGCAGGGCTGTTAGGATGATGAAAGTTAATGTAAATCAAGTAGAGGAGAGAAGAGAGAAGAAACTCTCTTATTCACTCCCATTTCCCCACTGCCTAGAAAAGTGCCAGCAAAAATTAAGTGTTCAATAAATATTTGTTAAATAAAGGAATATCAAATACACCATGGGCTTCCCTGGTAGCTCAGTTGGTAAAAAAAAAAATCCACTTGCAATGCAGGAGACCCCAGTTCAATTCCTGGGTCGGGAAGATCCGCTGGAGAAGAGATGGGCTACCCACTCCAGTATTCTTGGGCTTCCCTTGTGGCTCAGCTGGTAAAGAATCTGCCTGTAATGGGAGAGATCTGGGTTCGATCCCTGGGTTGGGAAGATCCCCTGGAGAAGGGAAAGGCTACCCACTCCAGTATTCTGGCCTGGAGAATTCCATGGACTGTACAGTCCATGGGGTCACAAAGAGTCAGACATGACTGAACGACTTTCACTTTACTTTCAAATACACCATAATGGTGCTGGTAAGTAGTAGCTCTTATTATCGTCTTGTTATAGAGTGGTAAATCACCTGCTACATTATGTGGCCAGTGGTCAATGTCTTTTATGGTTTTTCACGGTTCCACTGGCAGTCCTACCAGTAGGACTATGAGTAAGCATGCCTCTCTTATCCAGGGCATGTATTGTGGAACTCAGACCAGCGACTGGACCCAAGTGAATCTCAGGACTCACTGGAGAAAAGGCCTATTCTTTTGAAAAAAGTATCCCATGATCGAGAAGTGAGACACAAACTAATTCTTGTTCAAGCTCTTGTTTGAAGAATGGTCAAAACAGTTTTTCTAACTGCTATGTGGGGCACAGGGACAAGTATCTTCAGCTAAGTGCCACGAGCCTTGGAGTTGGATCCTACCAACATGCCGTGCAAAGTCAGTTTACCACTGAACTCCAGTGTTGTTGGCTTCTAGACCTTGATGGCGGTCATTACTGTAAGTCCAAAGTCATTGTATACTCAAACGGAACTGTATACTTGAAAGTGCTTGGAGAAATATATAACAAGAGCATTAATCAGATTTTCTTCTAATATCTGAATACAGGTGAAGCCCTTCCCAGGACTTTTCTTCTTTGGTACAAAAATTATCTTCAAATGGGGCCCTCTAGATTCAACATTCTGTCATTTGACAAATATTTACTCCATACCTTACACTAGCCACATTTGAGCAAAAACATGATTGAGGTGAAGGAGATAGTCAGAGGAAACAGCCAGTACAAGGGCCCTGAGGTGGGACATGCCTTGTGTTTGTTTGGTGAATAGCTAGGAGGCCACTGTGGCCAGAAAAGAGTCAATGAGAAGAAAGAAATATGAGATAGGGTTAGATCCTGCTGGAGCTTATACGACTCTGAGTGAGATGGAGAGCATTTGTAAAACAACAATTCTTCCTGGAGAGAACCAGGTCCTTGACTAGCTATGTGATGCTGGGAACTAATCATTCGAGCCTCATTTTCTCCCTCCGCAAGATAGGCATGACCATGTATATTCTGTGAGACTCTGCTAGGCTCTAGTGAGACAACAGATGAATGCTGAAAATGCTGGTTCCCTTTCTTTCCTCTCAGCAAGTTATACCTTGATTCCTTGAGCAATGGCAGCAGCAGCATTGGCTTCCTTTTCATCTGCTTGCACTAGAAGTTTCTTGGCATCAGCTTCTCGAGTCTCTGCTTCGATTTTCACCATCATCTTAGCGGTCTCCTCAGAGGTCTGAATGAGCTGGGGTTGGAGGGCCGTCAGTTCTACTTGCATGACGGCCACCTAGCAAGGAGAGCGGACGGGTGGGGTGCCAGGTCAGCTATGTAAATGCCAAAAATGGAACAGTTGGCAAAAGTTGAAATAATTCTCTAACTGATAATACATGCAGAAAATACAAATGATGCTAATGGTAATGGGTACATATTTGTTGGCTGGAGTTTCTCTCTTTGATCTTGTAATATTTCATTATTTAGTTCATGCTATGTGTTGTAAATTATCAAGCTCCATGATAGGCACTAGACATACAATAGTAATCTTAAATTTTTTTTAAAAAGATACAACATTTAAAAAAGGTATTCTTGTATTGAGCCTACACTACACTTTAGTATTGGGGGCAGGGAAAGACAGAAGTAAGTTAGGGGAAAAACCCCTACATTTTTTTAAGGAATATACATGGCTGAGATAGCTGGGAGGGACAGAACTCTAAAGGTCATATTTTCCCCCCAACAGTCTGATGCCCTCTACAACATTCCTGTCTAGTAGTTTTCTGGCCACTGTTTGAACACTTCTACTGATGGGGAGGTCACCACCTCTCAGGGGAGTTGACCATTTTTCAGACAACTTAACACATTAGATTTTCAATGTTTATTTGAAGAAAGTCTCATAACCTTGAACCCAGTGTCCACAGAAAGCCCATGTGAGAAAGGAAGCACAGCAAGCTGGTTGATTAGGAACACAGACTGTGGAGTCACTCAGACTTAAGTTCCAGTTTTCACATCATCACTTGCAGCAGCTACTCATGAGCCTGTGTGATCATGGGCAAGTTGCCTGTCCTCTCCGGGACCTTGATCTCTGTGTGTGATGTGATGATAACTGTACTTTCCTCATATAGAGCACCAGACACGTGGGACGGCTCAAGGAAAGCTAACTGGCACCATCATTCCCTTTACTGGTCTAGACTGTCTCAGGTCATTTTGCTGCTCTTCAAATAACACAGTTTGCTCACCCTTATGTGGATAGACTCCAATTTTCAACATCTCTCTAAAAGCTTAAGGACCTTGAGTTGGACCCAGCAACTAAAGGAAGAGAGCAACAGAGGCCACTTCTGATGTTCTTCCCTACCCCGTGTGCTGCGTGCTGGTGGATCTGCTGTGTATTCAGTGCCAGGCCAACCCACTGAAAACCATTCGGTTGCCTTAGTTCTTTATTGGTGCTGAAAATTCATGTCTTAATATGGTTTTGTCAAGTGGCTCAAGCACAAATGAATTACTAAATCATAAGCCAGGCATTTTGCTAAGGGTTATACTTGGGTTAGATCATTTAATCTTCATAATAGTCCTATGAAGTGAAGACTTTTTATTATTTTTTTACAGAAGAGAATCTTCAAGGTTCTATACCTGATAAGCTATAAAGCTGGAGCCTAGGCCTTGTTCTTAACCACTGCCTTATTCTGCCCAGTTCTCCATTGAGAATATCCAGGGCTGGGGCAAAGGTGAGGTGAGTGAGGCACTTACCTTGGGCACAAAATTTAAGAGGGATCCAAAAAACTCAGTCTATTTATATATACTATTGTATTTTTATATACTCTTAATATTGTACTTTATATATGTGTATATATATATTCATATATGGTGGTGGTGGTGGTTTAGTCAGTAGTTGTGTCCAACTCTTGCGACCCCATGACTCCTCTGTACATGGGATTTCCCAGGCAAGAATACTGGAGTGGGTTGCCATTTCCTTCTCCAGGTGATCTTCCAGACCAAGGGATGGAACCTGTGTCTCTTTCATCTCCTTCCTGGCAGGTGGATTTTTTACTGACTGAGCCACCACAGAAGAGAAGCAAAAGGCAAAGGAGAAAAGGAAAGATATAGCCATTTGAATGCAGGGTTCCAAGAATAACAAGGAGAGATAAGAAAGCCTTCCTTAAGGATCAACGCAAAGAAACAGAGGAAAACAATAGAATGGGAAAGTCTAGAGATCTCTTCAAGAAAATTTGATATACCAAGGGACCAGTTCATGCAAAGATAGGCACAAGAAAGGACAGAAATGGTNTAATAGATAACCCCAGACTGGGAGGCTTAAAATAACAGATATTAATTTTCTTACAGTTCTGGGGCTCAGAAGTCCAAAATCACTTTCACTGGGCCAAAATCAAGGTCAATAGGACCACATCCCATCTAGAAGTTTCCTCGCCTTTTCCAGCTAGTTTTCCTCGAATGTCTTGGCTGGCAGCCCCTTCCTCCATCTTCAAGGCCAGCAGCCTAACATCTTACTTTCTTGTCACATGGCCTTCTTTCATGTCAAATCTCCTTCAGTGGCTCAGTCAGTAAAGAATCTGCCTGCAATGTGGGAGACCTGGATTCGATCCCTGGGTGGGGAAGATTCCCTGGAGAAGGGAATGGCAACGCACTCCAGCATTCCATGAATGGAGGAACCTGGCGAGCTATATAGTCCTTGGGTTTCCAAAGAGTCAGATATTAGAGTTGATTGGTTAGTCAGAACTATGAATGCTAACACCCCCTCTTCAAGGACACCTGTGATTCCATTTAGAGTCCACTTGTATAATTGAGAATAATCTCCCACATCCCAAGATCGCTGATGTAATCAAATTTGCAAAGTCCCCTTGCCACACAAAGCCACAAGCAGAGGTTCCAGGAACTAAGACCCATATGCCCATGGGGATCATTACTCAGCCGGCCTAACTGGCATTAAAAGTCCTTCCTTCTGTTTGGCCTCTGCTCCTCGTCTTCCCGCCTGCTTCACCAAGCCCTGCTCAGACACGCCAGGACCTGCTTCTGCTGGAACACTCTCCCTTCCCCTCCACAGGGTTCCTCTGTCTGGAGATCTCCATAGTAACACCCCAGGGTGCTTCCCTCACTGCTCGCCCCCACCAGTACCCCCAGAGGAGTGCCTCTGCACCCATCTCTGGCAGCATCTGAATCCCAGGCCGGTTCTGGACCAACTCAATGGACATGAGTTTGAGCAAACTCTGAGAGTTGGTGATGGACAGGGAGGCCTGGTGTGCTGCAGTCCATGGGATTGCAAAGAGTTGGACATGACTGAGTGACTGAACTGAACTGAACTGAGTCACCATATACCCTCTGAGCCACCAGGGAAGTCTCATATTTTACATATACTATTGTTATTTTTGTATATACTATTGTATTTGATTGTAATGGAGTAGGTCAAGGGAGTGAGATGAGTGCAGGGTCAGATGCTGTCTTTATTTTTTTGCACTCTCTTGACTTCTGCAACTGAACAAGTGCTTCACCGCATCCAATTAGTTCTGGACCTCTTTGTCCCAATACTATTTTGTCTGTGCTTACCTGTGAAGCTGCAAATTCAAGTTTCTGCAGGCCTGTCAGATATCGGTTCCTCATCATATCAACCTCTTGCCTCTTCTTATTCAGGAGTGTCTTGAATGTTAGGATCAATTCGAGGTAGGAGGTGGGGGTAACATAGTTGTGTCTGCGAAGGATGTTGTAATAATCAAGTGACAGCTTTTTCACACTCTCCTGGAAATATTTGCACATGAAGATGACCCTGTAGAGGACACAAAGGTGGTCAGACAGGCCCAACTTGCTCCAGAGAGATCGAGCACAGTTTTGGTTCACAGAAGTAAGGCTACGAGAAAGCCACTCACAGTGGCCAGCTAGAACCCCCAATTCTTTGAAGCACGTCAACAGAGCCTCAAGAAGGATTGGGGAGGTATGTATTCTTACTAGAATGAACTTTGATCAGGCAATTTCTAGCTTTAACCACTTTTGTGAATCACCAGGTTTTAAGCAGGAGTTTTTAATCTTTGGAAGTCTGATGAAGCCTCTGGGCTTTTCAGAATAATATTTTAATGCATAAAATAATACATTATAGAATTATAAAAGAAGCCAATTATGTTAGAGAGTTTTTTTTAATATTTTAAACACCAAATTTATGATATAGTAATGTGTGTGTGTGTGTGTGTTTGGCTGCACCTCGTGGCATGTAGGATTTTAGTTTCCTGACCTGGATCGAACCCACACACCCTGCAGTGGTTAAGAATCCACTGAAAGCATGGATTCTTAACTACTGCAGGTAAGTCTCAATATGTGTGATCTTATTTACACGTTAAATCAGGGGTCAGCAGACTTTTTCTGGTTAGGACCAGACAGTAAATATTTTAGGCTTTGTGAGCCACATGGTCTCGAGTAGCAACTATTCAACTCTGCCACTGCAGTGTGCATGGCAGTTTACCAATAAAGCATATTTGCAAAAATAAAGTTGTGAACTGGACTCAGCCATGGATCATAGCTTGCCAACTACAGCATTAAATAGTAAGATTGGACAATAGGCCTGAAAACGACTATCATTTTGAAGGGGATGATATATTGGTGCATCTGTAATGACTGAACAAGTTATGAAAATAACTGCGATTCCTACTGGTAACAAAGTCACAGGTCCTACACAACCCTATGGGGGTTTATTGCCTATGTTCATCATTGAAAGAAATGCAAAGTACCACTTAGATGTCAACGAAAACGAAGATGTACTTTTTCCCCACTCACATTCACTGACCCTCTGAGTTCTGGTCATGAGCCTATCAGTTCAGTTCAGTTGCTCAGTCGTGTCCGACTCTTTGAGACCCCATGAATTGCAGCATGCCAGGCCTCCCTGTCCATCACCAACTCCCGGAGTTTACTCAAACTCATGTCCATCGAGTCGGTGATGCCATCCAGCCATCTCANCTGCCCTAAGGGTGATGTTGTCTGCATATCTGAGGTTATTGATATTTCTCCCGGCAATCTTGATTCTAGCTGTGCTTCATCCAGCCCTGCGTTTCTCATGATGTACTCTGCATATAAGTTAAATAAGCAGGGTGACAATATACAGCCTTGACGTACTCCTTTTCCTATTTGGAATCAGTCTGTTGTTCCATGTCCAGTTCTAACTGTTGCTTCCTGACCTGCATACAGTTTCTATAGACCCAGGTTAAACATTCCTGGGCCTAAAGAACAAGGTTCAAAGATCTTAAAATGGAATTTAAAGCAATGAACATTCTGACCACTACTTGTTTCTTCATTTTCTGTTTACTCATTTAATAAGCAGTATTCAAACCTACTATGTACTAGGTACTAAGGATATAAAACTATATAAGGCAGGTGACATGACCCTTACCTTCACAGGACACTTAGAATGGTCAACAATCTTATCCTTTCTCTTACTCTAGCCAAAATTCAGTGCTTTATTTTGTTTACCTGTGCTTTACATACAAAATTTTTTTTTTCACAACAAAATCCCTCCCAAGTACCAGTTTTCTATCCCCTAGGCAGAGATATCTCCCCTGTTGAGAATGTATGCTCTAAGATTATTGAAATCCAGGTTCTCATAGCTATGACAACAGTACATCTCTAGAACAATTCTGAACAAGGAAATGTTCTTCTTTTTTCAGCAAAGGCGTTTTATTAAATATCTAAATGGTATTTATTTTTTATAATTTATTTCTCATTGGAAAAGACCTTGATTCTGAGAAAGATTGAGGCAAAAGGAGAAGGGGGCAGCAGAGGATGAGATGGTTAGATAGCATCCCCAACTCAATGGACACTCTGGGAGATAATGAAGGACAGGGAAGTCTAGCATGCAGCAGTCCATGTGGTCACAAAGAGTCAGACACACGACTTAGTGACTGAACAGAACAGAACATACATAAATTGATAAATCTTAAAACAGCAAAAAGAATAGAGCCAATATCTTGATTTTCATTTGAAATATTTGTTTGGAGTACTAAAATGCAGCTAGCACTCACTCTGTCCGAATATTGTCATCGAGCTCTACATCTTCTAGAAATTTGTTGGCCACCAACTCCAGGGCATCTGTGGGCCAAGACTGGAACCAGTCAATTGTGCAGCAATTGATTAGAGAAGGGAACATTCGCAGGCGGTTCCGGAAGGTGTCCCCAATTGGACTCATGGCTAATGAAAAGCAGATTTCATTAGTTCTCTTTCTCCCAGTCAAGGAGGCCAAAAGGGACAGACAGGTCATTCCAAGGATTCTGATGGGGATAAGGGAGCAGTCATGCTTCCTGTTGGCACTCCAGAGTATAATTGGGAATAGTCAGGATGAGTGCCTGCAAAGCATAGGGAAATCATGGAATATTTTCATGCAACTTTGTGATGGGAAGTCAGTTTATTACAATAATCTTCTGTCTGGTTTTCAATATTCATATTATCCTATATTATCCATTATAGATCTTTAGGATCATATAGCCAGAGTGTTTTAAGCCCTTTGACCCACTTGCTCCATTTGTCCTGATTCACAGACCTCAGGAAGCCACTGGTGCCCCATACATAGCTACTTACGGAGGCTGCTGTGGGGGCCCTATCAGCTTGTTTCTGACCTCATCTCCATCTAACCCCAAATTTTGGATTATATGCCCCAAATTTTGTTAATTGTTTATTTAGATTCAATGTGTACCAGGCACTTGCTAGGAGGAAGCATAATGCATAGGTTGAAGTGTGAGAAAGTCAGTGTAGCTAAAAAAGGAAGGGGAAGCACGGTTTGAGATGAGAGTGGAGAGGATGCAGGGGACAGTCTGGCAGGTGTTCTTATAAAACTATAGGTTAGGGATTTTGGTCTTTATTTGAATAGAAAGTAATTCAGGTGTTTTAATTTGTGTATGTGTATGTTAATATACAATGAACAGATCTGCAATACAAGAAAAACAAATCCAACAGTGGAAAGCATCCTGATTCAGTGGAACATAAATGTCTGGAATGGACAGAGTGGGCACAGAGAGAACAGTTAGAAGGCTATAGAGGTGAGGTCTGGGTGAGATGATATTCGTAGGAGCTTAGCTAATTTGAAGGTGGCAGAGATAGAGATAAGTGGGTTGATATGAGCACAAGAAGGCAAAAATTGACAGGACATGGTAACGAAGAGAAGTATTAAACAAGACCCCTAAGCTTCTGGACAGATTGGAGATGATATTCACAGAGAAAAACTCCATATGTTATTTTGTAAGGCTGCCAGGGTAATGTACTAAAAGGAAGGAGAGGGTTCACAGCAGAATCCAGAGAACTGAAGAGAACAGAACAGGTTTAAAATAGTTTTTCAGGGAAGTTTGCACAGGAATTCCAGGCACCGACTGTTGGGCAAGTTAGGTGCCTTGGTTGGATCAATTTTGGCACCATTTTAAGAGGACTAGGCTTAGGGCAAGGAGATGCTGAAACATCCAAGGAAAAGGGCAAAATGAATTTTCTCATTCTTACCAAGGACAATGTGAAGGTTCTTTTTCACTCTCTCAATGAAGAAGTTATACATAGAAAGAGGAGTGATTTCTATCTTTTCTCCTTCTGTCCTGGCTGCCATTTGCATCTTCTCCACAATGTCAGCCTTCTCATCAGCAGGGAAGATGTTGGGCACATCACCAGTGTTCAGAAGCATGTTGATGTCCTCAACGAATGACTCATCCTTGATCTGATTATCAGCGAAGAGGAACACAGTACTCTTGGTGGCCACACCAACCTGGAGCATGATCTTCTTCAGGTCCTCTCGCCAATCGTTGCCTGAGTAGCTTTTTGTGATCTCGATCTGGTATAGCTCGTATGAGTTCATGAATGTGGACAGTTTGCTGGCACTTTGCCGCCCACTGCCCCCAATGCCCACCAGGAGCAAGTGGCCTTTGTCCTGCTTCAGGACCCTGCAGATCCTAGAGATGTGCTCAATGGCGAACCTGAACATCACCAAGGACATGGGGGCCTTGCTGATATTGTTGAACTCTTCCAGGTAATATTCCATGACCACTGTGAGCTGTTTTAAGTCAGTGATCTCATCATATATCTTTTGGTCACTTTCTGGCTTGAAGAAATCTCCAAAGAAGAGGCTACGGATATTATCATCAACTATCTTTCCAGTGGGTGATAGGTGGATGAGGACCTGTGGAAAAGATAAGTCTCAGCCAGGCATTCACTCCAACTACCATGGTAGTGGGAGCTAGAAGGAGGGAACAGGAGATGTGTTTGTTTCCTCTGAGCACATTTTTAAAAGTCATGGTTCACAACAGTTTTGTTTTTTTAAACAAAATAAGTGTATTTGATGGTTGTAAAGACTATGATAAAAGGACAGTTGAGAAAAGAGTGTGAAAGCAAGGGTCAATGGGTTTGCTAAGTGGTTAAAACATTGGTGGACAGATTATAAGATCCCAGGAGGACGTGATCAAAAGGTGAGATTATTGTTAATGTACTTGCTTCTTCACCAAATAGAGGTGCAGGCCTTACCCCTGTTCCCCACTCTGTACCTAGAGTAGAAATGTTTTAGTTGCTTCTTCTTTCTGATATTAGAAACTAGCAGTGTTTCTGTACATGGCCTCTGGATGAGATATGAAACACTTGCCTTTTTTCTATGGAGAAATCACAGCTTCTTAAAAGTAGAGGTAGAACTAGATGATGCAAATATATAGGGTTTAAACTTTTTTTATATCAAAATGGGAAAGAGAAAATATTTAAAATAGGAAACCAAGACAATCTATCACTTGGGCTTTACACAGGGCATCAATCAAACAATAAAAATTCATGGTAATTTTATTTCTTAACTCAAAAGTTAATTGACTTTGAAAATGCATTTTACATTAATTATAAACAAAACATCTTTGGGTGCATGAGACAAGTGCTCGGGCCTGGTGCACTGGGAAGACCCAGAGGGATCGGGTGGAGAAGGAGGTGGGAGGGGGGACCGGGATGGGGAATACATGTAAATCCATGGCTAATTCATTTCAATGTATGACAAAAATTACTGTAATGATGTAAAGTAATTAGCCTCCAACTAATAAAAATAAATGAAAAAAAATTAAAAAAAAATAAAATAAATAACAAGTGTGAATGGGTCCAAACTTAGATGTTACCTGGAAAGTCAAGTGAAATTGGGCCAAGTATTATATTACTTGGGACAGGGAAGCTTGGTGGACTGCAGTCCATGGGGTTGCAAAGAGTTGGACAGGACTTGGTGACTGAACAACAAAAAACAACAGTATATCACCAAATCAAGTGACTAATTGGCTCCATACACTGTTTCTTGAGATTCAGAAAGCAGAGCTAAAAGTCTCTATTTGGGCTTTCCTGGTGGCTCAGTGGTAAAGAATCCACCTGCCAATGCAACAAACCTGGGCTTGATTCTTGGGTCAGGAAGATCCCCTGGAGAAGGAAATGGCAACCCATTCCAGTACTCTTGCCTGGAAAATCCCATGGACGGAGGAGCTGGTGGGTTACAGTCCAGGGGGTTGCAAAGAGTTGGACACGACTGAGCGACTGAATAACAACAATAAAGTCTCTACTAGGAAGGGTGCCTGAAATCTGAGACTAGCATGATCACATATTTGGGGCAATTTCTGAGGTCCAAAGATCACAGGGTCTTGCTTACCTTTTCCACAGACTGCTTGAAGCAATTGGAGGTGGTTTCCCTTACCATGTTAAAAAAGACCTGTCTATCTTCATGATCAATCAGACGGTCATAGAAGACCCGGTAAACCTCATGAATCCAAAGCCGGATAAACTTCTCTACATCCTGAAAATTCAGTCAATTATTTGAGTGGCTGAGGCAGTAGTTGTCAAACAGTTTCTAAATCCTGGGTTGTTGTGAGGATTAAATGAGATAATGCTTACAAAATACTTAGCACAATGCCTAGCATAGATTAAATGCTTAATAAAAGTTAGCTATTACTATTATCATTATATATTCCACATAGCCAAGGATATCAGTGAATGAACTTGTAACAGAAATGCCAGCGGCTGACCTGCAGGTGGGTGTGAGGGCAGAGCAATACCCCTTGGATCACCCGTGAGAAATCCCGCAGGTTAAAGACATAGTGTGACTTGGAGGGAGTTGGCAAGAAATTCTCCACTGCAGCTTTATAAATTGTCATTGTTGCTTGTACCATCATCTTTCCATACCTTGGGAGGAAGGAGAAGGCAGACCAGTTAAGGAAGGGCCAGACATGAGGACCCCAGGCCAATCATACAGGAACCGCCTACCTTAAAAACACCACATCAAACCCTTTTCCAAAGTGCCAGTCAGCAATTGAACTGAAAATCTTGGTTAATATGTCATCCTCGAAGGCATTGATGGAAATGATATTCAGATGGCGAGTGAATCGTCCTGGAAAACATGCACAGGTGTGAATGTGCACACACACTCACACTTACCTCCTGGGCAGAGCAATCCTAAGACATAGAACAGTTTTTCCTCTGCCTTTAAGTTCTAGAGCTGTGCTATTCAACATGGCAGCCTCTAGCCATATGTGGCTATTTAAATTTATATTAAAATTAAGTAACATTAAAATGTATTTCCTCAGTCTCATAACCACATATCAACTTCTCAAGGATAAACATGTGACTAGTGGATGTTGTATTGCACAGTATAGATATAGAACATCTCCATGACTGCAGAAGTTCTGGTAATAGTGCTAGTCCAGTGCTCAAGACTGTTACTAGATAATGGCAATATGATATTTTTGAAAAATAATCAAATAATTCAGAAATACTTTTACAGAAAGTAACCCTTGCCTCCTACACACCAAATCCATTCTCTCTCCCCTCCCAAATTAATCACTGTTAGTTTGGTATTCTTACAGCTATACATCTATATCTATGTATCTAATATTAGATACCCGTATATTTATATCTGCAAAATTCATCCATTTAAAGTACACAATTCAATAAATATTTAGTACTTTAGTTGTGCAACCATTATCACAATCAATAGCAGAATAATCACTCGAAAAAGAAATCCTTTACCTTTACCACTTTCTATTTCCTTTCAGCCCTTGGCAACTAATAATCGATTTTCTGTCTCTATGATTTGCCTGCACTATCTTTTAAAAAAATATTTTATTGTATAAAGTAAAGCACAGATACAGAAAATCGCCAAAATTATAAAGTGAATCATTATAAAGTTAACATCCTTCCATCTACCATCCACATCAAGAAATACAACTTTGCCAGCCCTCCATAGAATCCCCTCCCTATATCCCATCCCAGTCATAGCCCTTTCCCTGTCTCCCTCCAAAGCTTACCACTATCCTGATTTTAAAGTAACTACTATCTTGAATTTCTTTATTTTTTTTAATCACCCATATGTACTGACATATGTAGGTTTACCTTTTTTTAAAAAAATGCTGGGATAATATTTTACACATTGATTGGGAAATATGGAGAGTTGCATGAACTTGAGGAAGTCATGTATTCTTTTGATAGTAAGCATACTAATGGTACTTAATGTGTGCTAATGCTTATTACACGTTACCAAAACCCAGATCAGTCTTCTGCCAAGCCATGCTCTCCACCACCATATGATAATGCCTTGAGCCTCAGTTTTCCCATATGAGCCCTAACAGCTGGCCGCTGGTCTGACAATTGTCAGATAGTCTGTTGGTTCTTCAATGAACACAATCTCTTTAAATATCAACATCAAATGAGGTTATTCCCTAGCTATGATGGAAAAAGACAGAAAAAAGTTTGCTTTGAAATCATGAAAACTGAGGAGCTAAGATGGTGGAGGAATAGGACAGGGAGACCACTTTCTCCCCTACAAATTCATCGAAAGAACATTTGAACGCTGACCACTAGCTTCTGACCACTAGCAGAAGACATCAGGCGCCCAGAAAAGCAGCCCATCGTCTTCAAAAAGAGGTAGGACAAAATATAAAAGATAAAAAGAGAGACAAAAGAGCTAGGGACGGAGACCTGTCCCGGGAAGGAAGTCATAATAGAGGAAGTTTCCAATCACCAGGAAACCCTCGCACTGGTGGGTCTGGGGGAAGTTTTTGAATCTCAGAGGGCAACCTAACTGGGAGGAAAAATAAATAAAACCCACAGATTACATGCCTAAAAGCAACTCCCAGCAGAAAAGTACCCCAGACGCCCGCATCTGCCACCAGCAAGTGGGTTCGGAATGGAGAGGAGCGGGCGGCATTGCTTAGCGTAAGGACCGGGCCTGAATACTCTGAGGGCAATCGGAGGGAGCTGACGCGAGATAGCAACTTAAACTGTGGGGTAGCAAGAGAGAGTGTGAAATCATGAAAACTTCCCCCCAAACTAATATGAGTGACTCTAGTTGTTTACTAAGTACAGAAAAAAATTAAGATACCTACTCTTCAAATTGTCCCCACTCCCTGAGATTACCCAATCTAGAACAGAGTACCTGGTTTCTTAAGCCTTTCTCACATCACCCAGCACAAGCCCATTTAACACCCTTTCACCAGGCACTCTCATGGTTCTCCATGCTATATAGACACCCTTGCGGCAGCAAATTAATAGACTCAATTTCACTTGACCACAGATGTGTTCTTGGCAGTTTTGGGCATTGGTCTTTAAGATCTTTTCAATATGTCATATTTGGGCCATAGCTTGAAAACTGTCAACTGCTGTGCAAATGTTAGCAATTACTATTTCCTTGATATGTACAGGAAACAGACATTCCCTTTTGAATAGATCTCTCCTGCCCCACTGGTTTTAGTGAGAATTAATTGACATAAATATAAACTGAAGGTTTACCACATGATGATTTAATGCATATAAGATATTGCAAAATGCTTGCATACTAAGGTTAAGTAACAATTCTGTTGTTGCTGCTGTTGTTAATTAGAGTCACCATATTGTACATCAGACCCCCAAAACTTGTTCATTTTATAACTGGAAATTTGTACCCTCTGACCAACATCTCCCCATTTCCCCCACCCCTTAGCTCCTGGCAACCATCATTCTACTGTTTCTGTGAGTTTGGCTTTTTTAGATTCCACATGTAAATGATATCATATAGTATTTATTTTTCTCTGTCTGACTTATTTCACTTAGCTTAATGTTCTTAAGGTCCATTCATGTTGTCACATAGAGTAGAATTTCATTATTTTTATAGCCAAATAATATCTCAGGGTGTGTGTGTGTGTGTGTGTGTGTGTGTGTGTGTGTGTGTGTATACATTTTCTTTATCCATTCATCCATAAATAGACACTTTGGATGTTTCAATGACTTGGCTATTGTGAATAATGTTGCAATATGGGACTGGGCTTCCCTGGTGGCTCAGCAGTAAAGAACCTGCCTACAATGCAGGAGACACAGGAGATGAGGGTTCAATCTCTGGATTAGGAAGATCCACTGGAGGGGGGCATGGCAACCCACTCTAGTATTCTTGCCTGGAGAATCCCATGGAGTGAGGAGCCTGGTGGACTACAGTCCATAGGGCTGCAAAGAGCTGGACATGACGGAAGTGACTGGGCATGCAGTGCAAACATGGGACTATAGATATCTCTTCAAGACAATGATTTCATTTCCTCCAGATATATACCCAGAAGTGGCATTAGCAGATCACGTGGTAGTGCTATTTTTAATTTTTTGAGGGACGTCCTACTGTTTTTCATAGTGGCTGCAAGAATTTATATTCCCACCAACAATGCATAAGAGCAGTTATTATCTCTTGACTTTTGTTAATAGCCATTCTATCAGGTGTGAGGTGATATCTCATTGTGATTTTGATTTTCATTTCTCTAATAATCAGCAATGTTGAACATCTTTTCATGTGCCTGTTAGCCACTGTATGTCTTTAGAAAAATGACTATTCAAATTCTCTATCCATTTTCTAGTTAGATTGCTGTTTTGCTACTGAGTTGTATGAATTCCTTACACATTTTGTATTTCAACACTTTATCAGATAGTTTGCAAATATTTTCCCCATTGAATGAGTAGGTCTTAGAGAAAAGTAATATACCAAGTTCCTTTCCCTCTAAGTAGTTAGAGAAGTCTTGAATTTATAGATGCTAAGTGCCTGAGATCCTGCTATATTCAAACCCAAGGCAAAGGTACCCTTGGACTCTGTACTTGAAGTGGAGGGTGATGGTTTGTATACTCAAGTAAAATCACCCTGTTTATCTTCCTTATTTTACAAATGAGAAAGATATATGCCACAGGGGAAAGCAAGGTCACAGAATGTTAAGTCTGAAAATAGCATTAAGATTCTTAACCAAGGATGTATCTCAGAATAAAAGTATGGAACTCTGTAGACCTGGATTGATGAAGTTGCACATGAAGCAAAATATACTCCGAAAGTGTCAGATGATGGGGGAAAATCTTATTTGTTTATTATTATTATTTTACTTAGGCCTATCTGGCTCCAAAGAATTGTAAGAAACATAACAGGTGAATCTGTCATTCACCTTTAGTTGAGACCCTCTAGTCTAGCCTTGCTCCTAGAACACAAGCTGATCACACAGAACTTACCTCTTCATGAGACTCTGTTCCTCTATGCCTAGCCAAAGACTCCTCAAATCCTCTTTTCATCTTCTCATCCTATTTCATACAACTTTCAACATGGCATATTCAAATGTCACTCCTTGAATCTAACTCAAGTGTCTCTTGCCTAAATACACCTTTCTCTATCTTCCATCAGGACAGACTGCCTTGCACTAGCCCTCCATCCACAAAGATGGTCTGGTTCTGCAGGGGGTGGGGCAAAAAGTAATGAACTCTCTCCTTCACGTACCAGTAATGTCATTCCTTCCTCCCCCAGGAGGGCCCATGGCTGTCACAAGCAGCACATCAGTGATGTCCAGCTTACTGGTATCCTTCCTGTCAAACCAGTAACCATGGTCAATCCATTGCCGTAGGAGCTCAATGGGGGGCTGGGCTCCATATACCTCTTTGGCTGGCATGTTGAGGTCATCTGGGGAAAGAAGTGATGGCCACAGATTGTAAGTCTATGGGATCCTTTGCTCTTTCAGGAGGTAGCAGATGACTATCCTTCCATGGGAGAGTCCATATTCAATTGTTATACCCTCACTCTAGGTAGGGCTCAGCCAGTGGACATTTTCACCATAATGGAAGAGATTTTTCAGGGTTCTGGCTTTCCTGGTTTATTGAGATCTCTGTGCATTTATTGAGATCTCTGTGTGTGAGATCCTCTGTGGAAGAATGCATAGATTGGCATTAACAAATAGATATTTAAAATTTTCCTATTCCTTTACCCAAAATATATAGATTGTCTACTATGTGCTAGACAATTTGTTAATTTCTAGGGATATGATGGTGAGAAAGACAGTCATGCTTCTAGTTGACAGAGTATTTAATTTACCACCAGGTAGTAGTGGGAACTCCAGTAGCAGAAAGGCTTCAAGCTAGGGTTTTTGAAGAGCAAAATCAAAAAGGCAAGGATAAGTTGTGATTTCCTCCAGGGTAGGGATTGATTTTCTCCAAAAGTACATTGTTCAGTCCTGGCACATAGAAGGCACTCAATACATTCCAATAAACACTGACTAAATGCCCAGTTTTGTGTCATGTACAATTTTAGGGATTTTATATGTATTATATCATCTACTCAAGATGATGACTTTATAAGGAAGATGGTATTACCTTTATGTTAGAGGTGAGGAACTGAAGGTAATGGAATAATATGCTTAGGGTTAAAAAGTGAGATTTGGACCTAGGTCTGTTTGACTGCAAAGCGTAAATTGCTTTTGGATATACCATAAAAATAGGAAGGGAGGACAGATGAGAGGAAAGGACAAAGGAGGGAGGGAGGACAAGAAAGGGAAAAGAAAATAAGATCCCTGCCTTTAAGGAGCTGTTGTTACTTGGCAAGAATATAAATACATGCAACGTTTACTACCAATACCTTAATCGTAAAGACAGAACATGAGATAACTCAGAAGAGCAGGGAATTATTATTACCAAATGAGAATTCTATGAATCAGCAGTAAGAGAGTAGAAAACATAATGTATTTGGCACCAAGAAACCTGGTTTTGGCTCGTGGTTCCAGAATTTTCTAGACATTTGGCCCTGAACAGGGAATTTAACCTTCAGAGCCTCATTTAATTGACTAGTAAAGTGATTTTTTTTTTAAAGTCAATTTTCATTCCAATCCCAAAAAGGGCTATGCCAAAGAATGTTCAAACTAACAGACAATTGTGCTCATTTCCTATGCTAGTAAAGTTACTCAAAATCCTTCAAGACAGGCTCCAGCAGTACATGTACTGAGAACTTCCAGATTTACAGGCTGAGTTTAGAAAAGGTGGAGGAGCCAGAGATCAAACTGCCAACATTTGTCGGATCTTAGAGAAAGCAAGGGAATTCCAGAAAAACTGCTGCTTCAATGATTACAAGGAAACCTTTGACTGTGTGGATCACAACAAACTGGAAAATTCTTAAAGAGATGGGAATACCAGACCACCTTACATGTGTCCTAAGAAACTTGTATGCCTATCAGGAAGCAACAGTTAGGAACTTATATGGAACAACTTACTGGTTCAAAATTGGTTCAAATTTTATGGTTCAAAATTGGGAAAGCAGTATGATAAGGCTGTTTATTGTTACCCTGTTTATTTAACTTATATGTAGAGTACATCATGTGAAATGCCAAGCTGGATGAGTCACAAGCTGGAATCAAGATTGTCATGAGAAATACCAATAACCTCAGATATGCAAATGATACCACTCTAATGGAAGAAAATGAAGAGGCGCCAAGAGCCTCTTGATGAGGTCAAAAGAGAAAAGTGAAAAAGCTAACTTAAAATCCAACATTCAGAATACCAAGATCACTGCACCCAGTCCCATCACTTCATGGCAAATAGAAGGGGAAAAAGTAGAAGCAGTGACGGATTTTCCTTTCTTAGGCTCTGAAATCACTGCGGACAGTGACTGCAGCCATGAAATTAAAAGATGCTTGCTCCTTGGAAGGAAAGCTGTGATAAACCTAGACAGTGTATTAAAAAGCAAAGAATTTGCTTTGCTGACAAAAGTCCATATAGTCAAAGCTATGGTTTTTCCAGTAGTTATGTATGGATGTGAGAGTTGGACCATAAAAAAGATTGAGCACCGGAAAATTGATACTTTCAAATTGCGGTTCTGGAAAAGACTCCTGAGAGTCCCTTGGACTGCAAGGAAATCAAACCAGTCAGTCCTAAAGGAAATCAACCCAGAATATTCATTGGAAAGACTGATGCTGAAAGTGAAGCTCTAATACTTTGGCCACCTGATGCAAAGAACCAACTCATTGGAAAAGACCCTGATGCTGGGAAAGATTGAAGGCAAAAGGAGAAGGGAGTGGAAGAGGATGAGATGGTTAGAAAGCATCATCGACTGAATGAACAAGAACTTGAGCAAACTCTGGGAGGACAGGGAAGCCTGGCTTGCTGCAGTCCATGGGGTCGCAAAGAGTTGAACATGACTTAGCGACTGAATAACAAGAAAGTGATCATGATGGCCAATAAACTCAAGGGGTTGTGAGGCTCAAAAGAAATAAATGAGGAAGCGCTGTGTAGACAGATAAAATTCTGGAAAAATTCAATGTGCTTATTTGGCAACTATTAGATTTCTTCATATGCTGATAACATATTTATCTGGCACTTAATGGAACAGAAGCTTATCACAGTGTGTGAGTTGCTTCTGGAGACACAAGAAGAGCAAACACTACAATCCCCTTCTGAACCTAACTACTGTCACTACAAAGTAACTTGGCCTGATCCATGGGCTCAACTTCATCCCAGGAGAAACTGGGATCCTCCCTCAGGCAAAAAGGCCTGGACTATGCCTCAACATGGAAAATTTGGCATAGAGTACATAGTTAAAAATACTTGGAAATGAATGAAGGGAAGGACAAGGAACAAAAAATGAAAGAAGCAAGAAAGGGAGGGAGGAGAGAAGAAGGGATGGAAAGATGGAAGAAAAGAAGGAAGGAAAATAGGAGCGGTGGGAAGGAATGCAGAATTATATTAACCAGAAATATTTTATCTTCCACAGACAGTAAAATGAATATACAGCAGTCCTACAAAGGGAGATTCTAATTTGCTGCAACTTAAAATAGAAGAATTTGGTGTGTCCAGATCCAGGCCTTACCCACAAATACCACTGCTTTCTTCCCTATGGGAGGCCCAAAAAGGCCTTTCCGCCGGCGATCCAGCTTGGACATGATGATATCCTGCGTCTGATTGGCTGAAGTTCTGGCAGAGAAATTGATGCAGTTGGGCAGATATGTATTTTTGGGAAGGCGAAGAAGGAAGTTGTTGGTGATGACTGATTTGCCTGTGCCGGTGGGTCCTACGAACAGCATTGGAATCTCATGGTCCAGGTAGGTTTTCAAGAAGAAGGACTGTCGGGCTGTCTCCATGGTGGGGATGATGAGTTCTGAGACCTGTGCCACAAAGACATGGTGAGTCTTGATGCTGGGACCAGGAGATTGGGTCTTGGTATTCAAGAGACTTGAGTTTTATCCTTACTATCCATTCAGCTCTGTCTCTTATTTATCTTTATAATTTTGAGCATTTTACCTCTCTAGCAGCCTAGTTTCTTCATCTGTGAAATGCGGATAAAAATGGCATCTAGTTCACTGAGCTGTTTTGAGGGTTAAATTTGATCTTGTATGTAAATAGACAACAACTGTCTATTGTCTCTGTTTTAGAGATGAGGAAACAGATCCAGAGCTCACTAACACAGCAAGTAAACAGAAATGCAAAAATTTTAATCCCAGCTTGTCTGATTCCAAGGACTGTATTCTTAATTACTGAAATGTCATATTATAACCACCAATTATAGTAAGGCTGGGTCTACAGCTGCTGCCCTCTGAGAACTTTTCTTTGAGCCAAGCTGTCTGTCTTACCCTAGGAAAGATCCACCTCCCAAATGCCATCTATACTGCCTGTCCAAGAAGGGTTAGGTATGACCCTTGACCCCCATTTCTTGTGCTTATTCCTCATCTGCTTTTCCTAAGGCTCATATTCTTGGTTCCTCCTATTGATCCATTTAGCAACATGGAAATTGCACCACTCTTCCTGGTATTCAGACTCCAACTGGGCTCTAAGGGCTTGGTCTTGGATTCCTGGAATCTCTATTACTTTGAGGAGAAAACCTTGCTTTAGATTGGCTTTTCTGAGCTTGAACCCTATCATCAACCATCTGGCTGCTTTTGGTCCCTCCAATGATGGGTAGAGGAAGGGGGTTTGCTGTTGTTTAGTCACTAAGTTGTGTCCAGTTCTTTTGTGACCCCATGGACTTTAGCCTGCTAGGCTCCTCTGGAGCCATGGGATTCCCAGGCAGGAGTACTGGAGGGGGTTACCATTTCTTTCCTCAGGGGATCTTCCCAACCCAGGGACTGAACCTGCATCTCCTGCATTGGCAGGCAAATTCTTTACCACTGAGCCAGGAGTGTAGCCACAGAGAAGCAGGTCGTAAGATCTAAATCATATGCTGAAGTCTACTTACACGTCTAGACTGGAAGAGGCTAGTGAACACGGAGCCACTGTGTTGTGTAACTCTAGGGAGCGCCACCCACACTGTGGTTTATGTGAACGGTGCCCCTAAAGCAAAACTAGACCATTAGCAAATGGCACCAATAGGAACTGTGCAGCGTGGTGGCTATGTGTATACTGTTAGACTAAGCTCGACTTATTTTGATTAATAATTTGATCAATGTAAAAGGAACAGATAGAACAAAGAAATTGAAGTGGCAAGGAAGAGAATTAACAGGTATTGAGCTATGGATGTTTTGCTGTGTTATTCCCTGCAGTTTTCCCAACAGCCCTCTGAGGCAGCTGTATTATTAACTCACTTTTTCAGATGAAAAAATTGAGACTGGAGGATGGCCAACTTGGCCAAAGTCACATAGCCAGTAAGTGATACTGAATGCTAAACCAAGTATCAAGACTGGGAATTTAAAGCGGGTTGGATTTCACAGATTTTTATTTTCAGGGGCTAGAACAGTTTTTTGACAAGTGAAAAATTCCCAGCATAACTAAAATATTTTCTGCATTTGACTCATTTTTAGGGATCTAGCAAGATTTCACACCCCTGGAGCTCAGGTGATGAAGCTCTTTTAAGGAGAATGAAAGTTTAGAACCTCAGTGCTGAGGGGTCCTTTACAGTCTTTTCGGTCTCCAATGTGTGTCTTGAACTCATCACACATTCACTCCTGCCTGTGGCACCCTTTTCACAAGCAGCTGTGGTCCTGTCTGGTGTCTGATTTTGTTTTCAATATTTCCACATTTCCATCCACCATCTACTACTCTACCTAGGGCCTGAAGAAACTACAAATACCCCAAGAAAGATAAGTTTTGTCCACCAGATACTGCAAGTAGAGGCATGAAAGTGCACATCTGGAAAAAATTTCCACAAGAAAATGAGTAGGAGTTGTAAGTGAATCTTCTGCTAACCAGAAAATCTATTAATCAGTATCGATTTTTCTGAGAATTCTGATTAAAGAAATCTTTCTCTGGGGATTTAAAGAAAAGGCAAGGATCTTTTTGGCTGAGATATCTGAGAGGGGGACTGATGACTACCTGGCATTGTTCATACTGACAACAATTAGACTAGCAACAGTATGATCTAGCACAATGTGAATGCCACAAATTCATGTATATTGTCTTCAATCTTTGCAACCATCCTTTAGGTATTTTTTCTTCTATTGTGTAGTTGAGTAAACTGAGGCAGAGAGGGTGAAGACTGAATAAGAAATCTGGGACTCTCTGATTCTAAAGCCCATGCTTTCGGAAGGCTCAATTTAATTCATGTTTGAATTGAATTTGAATCATTTTTCTAAAGTAAATTCTTTCACTTTTTCTAAAGTAAGTTCTTTAACTAACCCAGATCTGATGTTAACGTCTCTACTTTGCTGAATATCAGGTCATTACTGAGGTTCTATGACCAATAACTCTCTTTTACCTTTGCATTTGCAGAGATATTTTCCTCCTCTTTGGTGATATACTCTGTCCATGTGTACCAATGTCCACTAGCTTGCTTGAGGAAATAAAAATCATAGATGCTTCCTGGACCCAAAGAAACAGAACAGGTTATTAGCGCATCAGGGATTTACATTTCATATTTGAGATATTTAACTACCTCAGCCATAGGCATCTGAAATGTATGACTATCAGTATTGGTAACTGTATAAACTATAAAAACATCTTTTAAAGAATAATGACTTCATTATATGAATAAAATTAATAGGTGTTGATTATACAAATAATGATAATATAAATTATATATATATAATATATATTATAATATAAACAGGAAGCATTGAAAAGAACAAGAAAGGGAGAAAACAAACGGCTCCAAATCTCACAGTCAGAGATTACTTTTGACAGCAGTCCTTCCAGGCCTCTCTTGAGGCATACAAACATATTGAAGGTGGAAGTATAGGTAAATGAAAGAAAGAATTTTATTAGGATAGGATCATTTAATATTATATAAGGAGCATTTGAGATACTGGTTGCAAAGCCTGCTGAATGATAAAGTTTTTTTTTTCTTTTTTTCTTAATGTGAGAAAAACCTGAAGAGGACATGGAAGAAATACCGAGGCCTCAGTGAGACAAGTGTTGGGCCGTGTGGGTCACAGGAGCTCGGGGCACTAGAGGCTTTCCAGTTCCATTGCCGAGCCAACCCAGTAGCGGCACAAGTGACTTGCTTCTCTCTCCACAGGACTCATCTATAACTGACCCAAAGAGGACAGCACTGGTGGTTGTAGGGTGTGTGTGTGTGTGTGTGTGTGTGACAGAGAGTCTTGAGCTTCAGTTAAAGGGCTGAAACATTCCAATCAAAAAAAATTTTTTTTTCTTGTGATGAAAACTTCTAATATCTACCCCCTTAGCAGGAGATGCTTCATTAGGGCTTAAAGTCATTATAATTTAAAAAATAATTTAATCCAACTTTGCTATTATATTTTAACTTTTCATTGTGAAAAAAGATTTAAAATACACAGTGCTCACTTGAAAAAATGCACAACATGAGAACTCCAAGTTAAATTTTATTTGGGACAAAATGAGGGCTATAGACCAGGGAACAGCATTTCATATAGCTCTGAGAAATTGCTCCAAAGAGGTTGGGGATAAGGTCAGTATATATGTGATTTTGGTGAAGGGGGAGTACATGCAATTAAGCATTTTATTTTTTTGCAGAATGTTTCTGCTAGTCACTAGGAGCAGTCATCACCATGAAGGATTTTAGTGTTTTTCTAGATATGAGGAAATACAAGAATCGGGCTTATAAAGTTGGCTCCTGAAAATATCTATCTGAAGACCCATTCTGCTAGTTTTCCCCAGAGCACAGAGTACCTCATTTCTGCTCTCCACCCTGAATTCCTTTCAGGGGTGTTTAAAATCAGCAGTAACAGCAGCATGTGATTTAATCCTTGTAGAGGTAGATGGCAAGTGCCAGTATGTAGTTGACAACAAAAAAAGGAGGATAGTATAATAAACTTCCATGTACCCATTATGTAGCTTCCATAATCTTCAACATTTTGCAATTGTTTCATGCATTTCCACAACACCAACAACCATCATATTCATTTTCCTTCCCTCCTCACTTCCTCCTTTTCTTTCTTCCTTTTTTCTTAGACTGGAATATTTTGAAGCGAATCCTGATATCACATTTCATTTGAAAATACATGTGACTCAATGCCAGATCAATTTCATTGATTCCTTTATGAACTATGATGTGATTAACTCTCATTCTTCCATTTCCTCTCCTTTGGTTCTTTTTGTTGTTCTTGATGATACTGTTGTTGCTCAGTCACTAAGTTGTGTCCAACTCTTTATGACCCCATGGAATGCAACACACCAGGCTCCTCTGTTCATCACTGTCTCCCAAAGTTTGCTCAGACTCATGTCTATTGAGTCAGTGACTCTATCTAACCATCTCATCCTCTGCAACCCCCTTCTCCTTTTGCCATCAATCTTTCCCAGCATCAAGGTCTTTTTCCAGTGAACCAGCTGTTCACATTGGGTGGCCAAAGTATTGGAGCTTCAGCCTCAGCATCAGTCCTTCCAATGAACTAATCAATGTTGATTTCCTTTAGGATTGACTGGTTTGATCTTTCAGTCCAAGGGACTCTCAAGAGTCTTCTCAAGCACCACAATTCAAAAGCATCAATTCTTTGGCGTTCAGTTTACTTTATGGTCCAACTCACATCTGTACACGACTACTAGAAAAGCCACAGCTTTGACAATATGGACCTTTGTTGGCAAAGTGATGTCTTTGCTTTTTACTACACTGGATAGGTTGTCATAGGTTTCCTTCCAAGGAGCAAGTGTCTTTTAACTTTTACTTTTTCAGGGATTATAACACTGACATTTTGTTTTGCAACTGTAATTCTTTCATACCTTAGTCTTAGGTCTCTATTTAAATAGCTTCAACACTCAAACCTGGGGCTTTTAACACAAGACTACTTAAGTTCTTTATCTTGATTGATTAGTTGGCTGATTTAATTTTGTATTCCCAAGAAGGGACTTAAGAGGGCTCAGTTCTCTCAGATCTTGCATGTTCGAGAATGTCTGCCATTTTGTATTTGAACAGTGACTTGGCTGAGAATAGTATTCTAATGTCACATTTTCTTTCCCTTAGAGTTTTGCAGACCATTGCTCCAATGTTTCTTTCAGTCTAGTTTGCTGTGTAGAAGTTTGAGGCCCATCAGATACTTCCACTTTCACTGATTTTTCTTTCCTATCCAGATGCCTGATGGAATCTCTTTTATCCTGGAAATCCAATAATTTAATCAGACTATTTTTTAATCAATTATCCTGTTATCAGTTTTTCTTGGAACACAGAATACTCTTAAAATTTGAAGAAACACTTCTTCATTTTAGGAAAAATTTCTTCACTTGTTTCTTGGTATATATTGTCTACATTATTTATTGAGATAGCAATTCAAGGAATTAACACTGCAAGGTCTCCATGTCAATCATATTTTTAGACTGTCTTCAATAGCAAGTGCAGTTATCTCAAACCTTTCCTCTAAGCCATTTGTTAGATGTCTAGATTTATATGCTTTATTCCTTGCTGGTTCTAATTTATCAGATCATTACTAATATTGTTTAGTTCTCAATTTGTTTCTTTGGTTTTTCAATTCCTCTTTTTCTCTGATTCTGTGGTTTTAACACTTCATTTAAATTTTTTAAAATGATAGATTTATTAAGATATAATTCACATATGCTATATTCACTCATTTAAATTGTATAATTCAATGGTTTACTAAATATACATGCATGTATAAATATATTAATATTCACAGAGGGGTGTACGGTCATTACCATAATCAATTTTAGAACACGTCATTACACCAAAAAGAAACCTCATACCTCTTAGATGTCACTTTCCAAATCCTCTTCCCATCTCTCACCAGCCTGTTTGCCCTCCAGACAACCACTAATGTACTTTTTGTTTCTATGGGTTTGCTCTTCTGGACTTTTCACATAGATGAAATCATCCAATAGATATTCTTATGTGATTGGTTTCTTTTACTCATCAGAATGTTTTTCAGATTCATGCATGTTGCAGTATACATTATTACTTCATTTCTTTTTATTGTTGAATAGTATTTAATTGTATGGATATGCTATATTTTCCCCTTCATGGATCACTGCTTTATCATGGTGAAGGGACCTGCATAACTCAATGAAGCTATGAGCTATGCCATGTAGGGCCACCCAAGACAGACACATCATAGTGGAGAGTTCTGACAAAATGTGAGCCACTGGAGGAGGGAATGGCAAACCACCCCAGTACACTTGCTGTGAGAACCTCATGAACTATATAAAAGGACAGAAAGATACGACGCCAAAAGATGAGTCCCCTGGGTCTGAAGGTGTCCAACATGCTACTGGGGAAGAGTGGAGGAGAACTACTAATAGCCCCAGAAAGAATGAAGTGGCTGGGCCTAAGTGTAAATGATGCTCAGTTGTGGATGTGTCCCATCTCTTTAAGACCTGTGAAAAGTTCTTAAAGAGATGGGAATAACAGACCATCTCAACTGTCTCCTGAGAAACCTGTATGTGGGTCAAGAAGCAATAGTTAGAACCCTGCATGTAACAACTGATTGGTTCAAGATTGAGAAAGGAGTATGACAGGGCTGTCTGCTGTCATCCTGCTTGTTTAACCTATATGCTGAGCACATCATGAGAAATGCCAGCCTGGATGAGTTACAAGCTGGAGTCAAGATAGGTGGGAGAAACATCAACAACCTCAGACATGTGGATGATACCACTTGAATGGCTGAAAGTGAAGAGGAGCTAAAGAGCTTCTTCATGAGGGTGAAGGAGGATAGTGAAAGAGCCAGCTTAAAACTAAATATTAAAAAAAACTAAGATCATGGCATCTAGCCTCATTACTTCATGGCAAATAGAAGGGGAAAATGTGGAAGTAGTGATAGATTTCCTGTTCTTGGGCTCTGAAATCACTGCGGATGGTGACTGCAGCCAAGAAACCAGAAGATGATTGCTTCTTGGCAGGAAAGCTATGACAAACCTAGACACTGTGTTGAAAAGCAGAGACACTACTTTGCCGACAAAGGTCCATATAGTCAAGGCTGTGGTCTTCCCAGTGGTCACATATGGTTGTGAGATCTGGACCATAAAGAAGGCAGTATGCTAGAGAATTAATGCCTTCAAACTGTGGTGCGGGAGAAGACTCCTGAAAGTCCCTTGGACAGCAAGGAGATCAAACCAATCAATCTTAAGGGAAATCAGCCCTGAATACTTATTGGAAGGACTGATACTGAAGCCGAAGCTCCAGTATTTTGGTCACCTGAGGCAAACAGCCGACTAATTGGGAAAGTCCCTGATACTAGGAAAGATTGAGGGCAGGAGAAGAGGGCATCAGAAGATGAGATGCCTGGATGGCATCACCAATGCAATGGACATGAACTTGGACAAACTTTGGGTGATGGTGAGGGACAGGGAGGCCTAGCATGCTGTAGTCCATGGGGTCAAAGAGTCAGACACGACCAGGTGACTGAACAACAACATACTATATTTTATTTATTCACTCATCA